GCAATGAATGTCGTTTCATTCGTGTAGTTCTTAATTCCGTGAGTTCATTTTATCACGGGGAGTTGCGTGCGAAAGTTTAGTTGCATGTGATTGTAAAAGGTGCTAATTATCAGGTACATAGTTTCGCTTTGATAGAGCCAGATTGGGTGTTCAGTTAAGGTTTCTTTTCTTTGATAAAAGGTAGTTCGTCAATTAAGCAATCCAGCTTTCCACGGCACTTCCTCTGGATGCATGGCAAAGTGGTCACGTAGATTTTTATCCGATTGATTGTGTACGTCGCGCAGGTGTTTGCCAATCGCCGAATTTTGATGTTCGTCACCGAAAGGGAGTATTTGTTTGATGAACACGAACTTGTTCTTGATCTTGTGACTCAATGAATCTAGGGATGCTAAAATTTATTCGGTGGCGGATCCAGGGGAGGCTGCCCCCCTTATTTTTGGACCAAACTGAGGCCTGAAGGGGCCGAAAGAACTTTTTGGAGACCGCCCCCCTTTTCTAAGGGTCTGGATGACCGCCATCTCCCGCTCGTATCTCAATGTCTGGATCCGGCACTGTTAAATTAGCCTCTCAGGTTTCAAGAAGATCGGTTTGAGGTTATCGCATTCCTCAGCAAATAGGACAGGTGCAGATGATGAGAGGCGGTGGATTCGGTTTAGCATGGTCATGACCGAGGGGTAACTCCCTGTATAATAAACTCACGGAACTAAGAACTACGCAATTTGAAAGCGATGACATGAGTCATCCAAACGTCATTCGTTGCTACCGCTAATTTTTATTTCTCTATTGTGTTTCTAAAACCTCCGTTATTTTAAAAATCATATTATATGTATAGCCTTAGGGTGGCCCACAGGGGACATGCTGCAAATAAAAAAGTTAATAAATAAATACAATTAATGGCTGTCACAAGGGATTAAAAAGTGAATATAATTAAAAATAGCTATCTAATAGACCTTTTTACCGATACGGCGGCCATATTTAAGGAGTATTATAGGATGCCCAGTGGGCATGAGCACATTTTGTTTGTATTTTCGACCGCTTTTCGGGACATTTTTTCTTAAAGTTTTCTTAGAATAAGATTGTAATGGAAAACTGATCTTTGTGCCGTGTTTGGATGTAATAATGATCGCCTTTTTTCCGAGAAATTTACAGTGAAAGATTATATTTCTAATACTAAACTAGAACAAGGCGATCATTATTACATCCAAACACGGTACAAGGATCTTTTTTGTCATTACAATCTTATTCTAAGAAAACTTTACGAAAAAATGTCCCGAAAAGCGCTCGAAAATACAAACGAAATGTGCTCATGCACCCTGGGCATCCTATAATACTCTTTAAATCGAATTAATTCAATATGGCCGCCGTATCGGTAAAAAGGTCTATTGGTCAAGAAGACAAACGCAAAGCAAGGGACACACATACACCAACCCACAGCCTGGCCAGTACCACATGTGTTGTGTGGAGTGCTTGCACTCGCCTCGGCAGTAAAGAGCCTTCAGCTCTTTTTAGAGTGTTCAGTTTTCCAATTAAGAATTCGATTGTCTATCCTGACGCTCAGCGGTTTTTCATCTTCGGCTTCTTCTACACGGTTGTCATTGTTAGGAAGTAAATTCAAGTAATAAGTAATCTTTGATTTTAATAGGATTTTTACTATAATGGCGTTTGAATTTAACGATTTTTAAAGTTTTAGCTTTCAAAGTTTTCGCTTGATTTAGCCTTGCTACTTTTCGCTTTGGTTTACGCATTCCTTTAACAATAAAATTTTGTACAAGAACACTTGTTCCTGTTGAGTGTTCAAATCGTTCCGTCACACCATTCACGTAAAGATCCAAGGTTAGCTGATTCACATTTTGCAGTTTCTGTCGTGTGGCAATGAGGAGTTGTTTTGTCTTCTTTGCGTTAGGGACCATTTGATTTGACGTGAGCCATCTTCTGGCATTGTTTAGACTGTTTTGCAGATTGTGCTGAATATTATCGATGGAGTGATCGGAAGTCCATAATGTTCAAGTGTATTATTGGAATATATTTCAACTTCAGAAGCTGGTAAACACAGGGGCAGATCATTTATGTAACGTGAGAATAATACGGGACCTAAAATCGATCCTTGTAGGACGCCTCGTGTCAACGTGAGTGGGTTAGATAATACTCCAGAGATGTTGTAGGTCTTAGTTCGATCACATAAGTAAGACCTAGACCACCTCAAAGGTTGGTTTGCTGGTGTGGTATTTAGCGATCTTAGATAACAAGATGTCATGGTTTACCAGGTCAAAGGCTTTGCTAAGATCTAAAAACACCAACCCAACAAACTTACTGTTATCCATAGCTTTTAGCCAGTTGTCTGTGAGGCTCAACAAGGCTATTTCACAAGTTGCTGCACTGTGCGTGATATTTCAGCATCGGGCGGAGGGATGCGTAATAGATATTTGCCCCGCCAAAAAACGGATTGCGTTAGAGCAAAAATCGGTTAGAGCGGACAACTTTACCGGTGCCAAACGGGAAATTATTTCAAGCTCCGAGTACAAATCAAGGAAATGAAATTAATATGAAAATTATAAAACAAAATCATTCTTGCTCACACCTCTGACAACTGACTTTTATTTCTATTAATAAATGATAAAGGCACTTTTCACTTTATCTAAAACCAGCGGTAAACTAGTCTTTGACTACAGTAGTAAAATACAATTGAAGCTTCCTTAAGCCGACGACTGTCAGTGAAAGCGCCATCCACTGAATAAATCACTATCCGGTGGACAATACAAGTGAAACCAATTGCGTTATCCAGTGGATAGAGATATCCACCTTTTGAAGAACTGGGCCCTAAAAAACAGTAACAGTATCTGCGACTTCGAGTTGACTGCTTATGGAAATGTTTTTGGCATGAATCAAGGTTTGTCAAGGTGATCGCAAAAGAGCTATCCTCTCCAGAAATTTTTTCATAACTTTGACTCTAATTATCTGGACCGCCAACACAGCCTTTTGACCCACAATAGAACTGGATCATACTGATATCCGGTCCAATTTTTAAATTATTAAAAAAACCTGCTCCTAAAGTAGACAGCCACATTCTCAGTGTACATTTGTTTTTAGAAAGAATTATGGATTAACTTGTGTAATTGGATCAGTAGCTCCCCTATAAACAATAGTTCATTAGAGCGTTTTAAAAAGATTAGGTTTGAAGTTAGAATAGACTTCAGCTTACAGGCAAAGGACCCAATACCTCATATTTGTAATTTGCAGACTCCAAATCACGTAGATCAAAGGTTTGAAGGGATAAGTAAAAAGTAAAAAGCATATTCCCTACAAGGTCAGAGAAAAATTAATCAATTTAATGCCTAGGCGATAACATTAAAAATGACAATGAATGATATTCTTTATCACCGTAATGGTAAAATATATTGAACGGGAACAGGATGTAACAAACTACTGTAGTAACAGATGATTTTGCCAGTCTCAAGATAAATGGCCATACCGCGATTTCACTCTACTCATATCATACTGGTTTAGTACCTAACAAAGGGTAGACCCGTGAAGATGTTTACGTGAATAATATACAACTATCCCGCGAAGGGGAGGTGAATAGTGGCGGACATGTATACCGAGATGCGAAGAGTAGAGGTATATATCTAGCGCTGTTCACCGACCCTGAGCGGGATAGTTGTTTTAGTATTTACCAAATCAGTTGGATAAAAATGGAAAAAAGTAACTTTTTTGTAAATTAAAAACGTCACTTCGTAGGCAGCGTAGGGAGCCTGTTTACAATTTAGAAACATTTCGGGGATTTTGTCAAGTGTGTTTTTGCGATTTTGTTGTAAATTCAGCAAGAAAATAATTCTCTACCTACCAGTAAACACTAACAATCTGAAGTTCGTCGCTTTCTTAGTATTTGTTTCTACAACTGCTTCATTTCTCGCTTAAATTTCGTCTTCCGGAAATTTCTCGAAACGAGACGCCATCTTGGCTTCCGTCGCAAAAGAGTAAAATAATAAATTAATAATTAAATTAATAGCCAAGAATATTCCGAGTTACGGTAGCCAATCAAAACGCACGGAAATTGCTATTCAATGATTTGGTAAATACTAATAAACTTTATTGTTACGGTGCAATAAACTCAATCACGACTTCTGACACTTTGATATTTGAACAGATGCTCTCGCTTTTGATTGGCTGATGACCCAACAAAGTCAGACACCTTTGTTGTATCCTGCTTAGGTTTGTTGCACAGAAACTGAGACTAGAAACCAAATCATTTCATAAAGAAGACTAGTAAAACAGTTCACTCTTTCCTCTGACTTGCACTAGTGACACGTACCAATATTTGCACACAAAATTTAAGTCATCTAGAAATTAGCCTGAGTATCAGGCGTTTCTGGGGAAAAGGGGAAAGATGGAAGCGAAAAAGGGAGAGAGCTAAAATTTCCTCTCCCCTAGCCCCTTAGGAAGGCCTGATACTCAGGCTATCTAGAAATACAATTCTTCATTCTCTCATCTCAATCTCAAGTTTTTAAACAAAAAAAATGGGCACTTAACACTTCCTTTTAGTCACTTTGACTAAACCATTTACTGGAAGAACCCTCTAAAAATTCTGGATACCAGTGCTTTCCTTTTTTGGGTGTGGTCACAACGAATGGGAGATGCTTAGTTGAAACTTCTGAGTCTGCATTTTTATTAAAGGGTTTCAACTAATTCCCGTTTTTCAATATTGTTTTAAGATTAACAATCGTTTTTGAGTTTGTAGGATCTTCACTTTAGCACTGGATGTTAACTGTAAAAACATGGGATGATGAAGTAACGATTATGCTGAGAAAAGCAGTCATACATTGCAGTGTGAGATTCTTTGCGCTTTGCTTGGGTAGAGTTCAAAGATTCAGGTGAAAAAATGTTTTCTTTTTTTAATGGGAATGTGTCACTAGTAGATGCAAGGATTGATCAGGAAACTTAACACTATAATTAGGTCTAGACAAACAGTGACAGCATAATTAATAGTATTAAAAATACATTCACTAGTATGGCGGAGGAGTATATTTATCAGCACTATCTTCTCCAGGGGCACTGTCAGCTTGCTGATCAGAGAATGGCTTGGCTTGGTAAGGATCCCCCTGGCCTTGTGAGGTGGGGTATGGAGCATATGGTGATGAGTATGGATCCCCTGCCAAATTATCCCTCGAATATTCAAACTCTGTCAGAAGGCGACGGTACTTGAGGAATGCCATCACAGTCAGCCCACCCTAAAAGTTAGCATATTGGACAATGATGTATGAATGTTTAGCATGATGTATTCGAATTTAGAAAAAAATATTAAACAAAATTTTAATAGTGACGTACTAGTAATAACATTGAATTATTACACTGTATCATATACCATATCTCTTCAAATAAACACCCACACTCTAATAAGCCCCAACTGCCAGGCCAAAACAAGCACCCCTCTTGAATAAGCACTCCTTCTCTCCCTAATACTTTCTTCACAGTAGCGATAAAGAAAATCCTGTTTCTACTGCTACTTCATTGATAAATTTTAATCTTCAATTTCAACATTTATACCACTACATCCTTGTGTTAACTACATTTTTATGGGACTATGGTATGCTTGATTACCAAGAAGAGGACAAGTTATAGCAATCCCATGTGGCCTTGATTAAACACCATCCTTCCAATAAGAGCCCCTCCTTTCAGCTGCAATTTTAAATTAGAGCCTGGGTACTTACTCAAGGAAATACGGTATATGATATTTTCCCACTGTCACATTGCCCAAAATGCAACCTTTTTGTCCTAAAACAATTTGCATTAAGCATTGTTTCTAATTTCTCTTGAGATGGCTGTAAAACCCAGAGGAAATTGGAAACAGTGGTTATGCAAAAGTTTGGGAAGTATACAAGGTGTACGAGGGGCATTGTAACAAAAGATTTAAAATTATGGAAACACCACNATCCCCCTGGCCTTGTGAGGTGGGGTATGGAGCATATGGTGATGAGTATGGATCCCCTGCCAAATTATCCCTCGAATATTCAAACTCTGTCAGAAGGCGACGGTACTTGAGGAATGCCATCACAGTCAGCCCACCCTAAAAGTTAGCATATTGGACAATGATGTATGAATGTTTAGCATGATGTATTCGAATTTAGAAAAAAATATTAAACAAAATTTTAATAGTGACGTACTAGTAATAACATTGAATTATTACACTGTATCATATACCATATCTCTTCAAATAAACACCCACACTCTAATAAGCCCCAACTGCCAGGCCAAAACAAGCACCCCTCTTGAATAAGCACTCCTTCTCTCCCTAATACTTTCTTCACAGTAGCGATAAAGAAAATCCTGTTTCTACTGCTACTTCATTGATAAATTTTAATCTTCAATTTCAACATTTATACCACTACATCCTTGTGTTAACTACATTTTTATGGGACTATGGTATGCTTGATTACCAAGAAGAGGACAAGTTATAGCAATCCCATGTGGCCTTGATTAAACACCATCCTTCCAATAAGAGCCCCTCCTTTCAGCTGCAATTTTAAATTAGAGCCTGGGTACTTACTCAAGGAAATACGGTATATGATATTTTCCCACTGTCACATTGCCCAAAATGCAACCTTTTTGTCCTAAAACAATTTGCATTAAGCATTGTTTCTAATTTCTCTTGAGATGGCTGTAAAACCCAGAGGAAATTGGAAACAGTGGTTATGCAAAAGTTTGGGAAGTATACAAGGTGTACGAGGGGCATTGTAACAAAAGATTTAAAATTATGGAAACACCACAGCTAATACTCTAATACACCTCACAAGTGTTAAAATTAACATCATGTCTCAAGCAGATTTTATAAGTTACGCTATGTAATCATATTGCTCTTTGACCGATATGGGAATACTTTTGTTGAATATACAATGCTTTACCTCAAATCCTGCTTTGCAAAAAGTACAAAATTAGTCATTTGTCTGAGATGCTTTATCGTGAAATTGTTGTTAACATTTAGTAAAGCAGCCCTCTGATTCAAAAGTGAGATTGCTAGCATTTTCTTGCACATATAATTAAACAGACACTGGAATACACTCTAAACAAACTTACCCATGTGATAATGGAGAAAAATGAAAAGGCAATAGCCGCTTGGCAGTTATTAACTTGCTCTGTTAAGAGTGAAGCTGTGTCCATTCTTCTCCACATATCAGCAAGATAACAGAAACCCACAAACCAGAGGAAGCACCATAGTGCAGAAAACGCTAGATCAGCCAAGGTGATGTATTTCTTTGTATCTGGATTCTCAATGGTGTCAAACTGCACCTCAATAGCTAGGAATCCAATACATCCCAGGAAAGCGATCACACCAATGCCAATACCATAGTGACATGCTCCTATTTTCTTATTATATAGACAAATGCCATTGTCATCATAGCCACGGGCAGAAATACATCCAAACACAACTATTGCAAAAATCTAAAAGAAGAATCAAAATAAAATTTATCTCATATTCTTAACTGGATATTTTTGTGCATTATTAGAAAGATTAAGTATCACGTTTATGGCAAATGTGAAAATGTGAGATTCAGGTCGAGAAATTTTTAAAATGAGAAATGAGCAGATTAAAACAGCTTAAAACATACTGTTATGGAAAGAATTAGTGTGAATCTACTGACTTTTGTGTAGCTATAATGAACAGTAAACGATAAGTAAATGGAAAACTTGATCATGTGGTACAAATTCACATTTGCCGTTTGCCATAAATGCGATGTTCAATCTCTCTATTGACTTCATCTATGTAAAAGTCAACCTCAATATATTATCCAGATCTCAATATCAACTTAACCTGCAACCAGGTGTCCTGTATTTGGGGGGAAGGAGCGGGGAGCGAAAAGTCATCGCAGTTGGAATTGACTGATGCATAAGAAAACCTTCTCATAAAATTGATGAGGCCTGGTGAAGTTGTCATCAAATAAATACGTCTAGATGACCCTTCTACAGTTATTCAACTTTTGAAGGGATAAGTCAACAAAAATCTGTCAACTCTGCTGGAAAGAGCACCCTGCAAAAAGTAGCCTCGCCAAGTTTGAGAACGATTTAGTCACAAAATTTACCAGGCATTGTAAAATTTCGAGACTTTGAAAAGCTTTATTAGTCTGCACTTGCCTCATAAGTATTACTTTCAAATTTGGCAAGTTTGTTTACTAATTTTAACATGAGCTTCCCTGCGCTGTTGATGGATATTTGCTAATTAGTCCTTGTCAAAACCTGGGAAAAAATTGGAAGGCTCTATTGTTGCACTGTTTATCCTGGTTCTGTTTAGCTGGATTATTGGGGTTCCAATGTAGAATGTTCAGGGAATATTTGTACAGAATGACTGGGTGCCTTAGAGCAGTGTTGCTCCAACACTAAAAAAATAAAATAATTTATTTACTATTATTTAGATCGCATTAATAACTATTATACTAGAAATTAAAAATTGCTTTAGTGAGGTAGAGACAGATAGTGTAACCAGTTATACTGAGCTCACTGAATGTTCACTCTTGTTATGATCACAGAAGACGCTATGATCACAGAAGACAGAGGGAAGCTATAATTTAAATCAATTAAGACCAACATGTTTGACACAAGTTTGCCTATGCTACAACCTTGCTAAAGGCCAACGAAAACCTTAACTTTGCACAAATAATGTAAATCACGAGACGTTTTACTGATGCTAGCATTACAAATAAGCTAATTTTAGCCGTGTGCTTAGCTCAGCAATGAAAGGTTTCCATTTGACGAGCCCTCACATAACAATTTTTAACCTCAACGTTAACTAATAAAGCTACTTTTCCTGCCTTGAATTAAATTATGAGCTACTGAAGCACTTACAATGGATATAAACCGGACAATTGTCTGTGGCTTTTTGACAAAACTTGCCACCGTGTTGCTATCCATTTTGAACTGAGAGAGAAAGTGAAGAGAACACGGAGTGGCTACAAAGCCATGAAACACTTACACCCTTGTAGGGGAGGGGAGTGGATGAATCTCGCCAAAAATAAAAAGGCTTTTCACACTGTGACCCTTTTTCTTATAAATTTGAAAGCCTTGGATTTTCTTCCAAGGAAATGTGCTGTTTAAAAATGGAGCAAAAAGCCTGCATTAAAAACGGTTTGGACGACATAAACATCGTTCTGTACCTAGTGGGCATCCCTGAGGAAAAGATTTCCTTTCAGTTTCGCAGAAACAACAGAGGCTGTTGCAAGCATTTCGTTTTCCTTGACACGTGACGGAATTCATTTGTAGAAAACGTTTGATAGGACACAGGGAAAGGTACGTACTTACCATGTTAAAAGAGTTTTCTGCAGATATGCATGTTTAATCAAGTTCTGTATTAACTTAAGCTTATAACGTAAACTACGCCACGCGAGCTTGTGCAGAAACTTACGCTCTGGCAAGGCCAGATTTTGACATGTTTTGGTTACTGGAATACTGCCCTGAAGGACCCTAAAGGCTGCTGAAAATCGCGTTTTTACGCTAAGTTGTCGCCGAGCGATTATGGATCATACCTGGCCACATGTACGCTTTGTACCACGGGGCATATTAAGAAAACGAAAGAAACACTTTCATTCGAAGTATTGAATATTCATATACAAAAATGATGCATAATTTTAAATTAGCTTCAATTAAGCTTATTGAAGATTAATGTGTTCCTTGTTTTCTTTTCCTGTAGAATTTTGTGTATTATTAGTTAAAGTTATTTTAATTTTCTGAATGGGCTACTAAAATAAGGTCTCTCTGGACAGACTCGGTATACACCACCAGAAATTAATTCCACCAGTAGCACCTTGTTCACTGAAGCCAGGGTGTTAAAATAAAAGTTACTTACTTATGCACAAAAAGAAAAAAACAAGGCACGTACACTTTACAACTGTAGCACGGCCCCACAAGACTGGTTGGGAAAACAAAGGACAAACAGTGTTAACAATGAGAAAACAATGAGGGGTATAGAATGGTTCCTCGAAAAACGCTAGTCTTGGAAAATTTTGGCCCGATCTCGACATCTTGGAAGCATTTGAAATGAGTATCAAAGTCTCGTTTTTGGGTGATTTTGCGTCTCAAAGTCTCCACTATTTTTAACTTTCGGTCTCGTTATATTTTGATACTGGGGTCTTGCAGTCTTGCAATGTCATGAATTTACCATTCTATAGCTGTACTCCTACAATGGAACCTGTCCCCAAAACAAAACATAAATGTGTAGAGGTCCAATGAAATTAGAAGCTTTGAAGAGGTGTAAGGCTAATGAAAAAATCAATTATCCGTCAATTTACAAGCGTATTATCAAAATGGGGGGTCAGTTAAGGCTTGCAGGGCTAGAACCACACCCAGGCAGGATTGATCCCCAACTTGTCCCAGTTATCTCCTTGTCTCTTCTTTTGAATATCAAAAAAGGAAGCACATAGAGTGCAGGGCGAGTTGCCGTTCTTGTCACTTGCCACCAGTTACAAATTAATCATTAGGAAGAGCCAGCATTTGTTCCGTAATTCAAATTTCCCAACACCCCCCCATTCCCTTTCAAAATAGGACATAAATATTTCTTTATTTAGAGTTGGTAAGATACCGGTACTCAATATTATTATTCATTCAACACCTTTCGCCATGTCTGATTGGCTTCAATCCCCCAGCCAATTCTTCATAACCAACTAACGTTTACCATTATTTGGAAGATGTGAGTAATATACCATAGTAGATTTGATGGTACATGTATATTTGCTTTCCAATGAACAATAAGAATATTGTTGAACTCAGCTTTCATATGATGTGAATAATTTTGCAGGGCTTGGAGGCTGTTATGCAGCTAGGTACAACTCCTCGATCTGCATAATTCTTCACATGTTACTTTGCCCTTCATTATGTGGAGATTCCACTGTATTGTTAAATATAATGTCTGCTATGATTTCTATCCCCAGTGGCAGTGGAATAACATATAGATTTAGCTAAGGCCAAAAGCAAAGCTCTCGAAAGATGCTTTAGGAAATTTTTCCTCAATTCTCAATTAATTATACTTTGGACGTAAGCAGAGAGCAAACTGAATTCTACCTCTAAAATAATTGACCTGCACCTGCAATCAATTAAAAACGAACAACTGGTCAGCGGATAATTGCGTCACTTCCATGAGTTGTATACCTGAGCCCGTGATGCAGTCATGTGATGCTGGTCAGCAGATACCCTTTTTTGACAGCTGTCAATTAATCACAACATGGATGTCCAAAACCATGCAAGTTTTACACAGAAAGTATTAGTGTGCCATTTCGCATCCACTAACATGAAGTGGTGGACGTATGTACAGAAGTACTCCGTATGGACCATTTTCTCAGAACCAAAATTTCTTGGAAGCATAGATTATCATAGTTTCTTACCCATGGTGCTCCGCTGCACTCGCTTCGCACGCATGAGAGCTCCGCTATAAGCCACCAACTCAATTCTTGACCTTATTTATATTAAATACAAACTTCACCCTAAATTTTTACCATTTTTTCCAACACAGATACCTTTTCACTGGCAGGTACCTGTCAGTGATCAAAATGGATGAAGTTGATCGCGATGCTGCCACAAAAGAGGAAGAAGACCTCAAAACAACAGTGGACAGGGAGTGTGCTACAGTAGATAATGATCATAACACAAATGGTATGATATCAGACTAAAGCCTAGTCAAATGTTATGTCTCTGTCTTGGGGCTGGGACTTAGCATGTGCCACATATGAAATAAAACTCTTGTTAAGTCCGTCTGCGAAACAGCACTGAAATTCTTGTTCTGGGCCCCCACCTGTCTGCCAGGATTTGAGTACGTGCTATGATTGGCCTGTTAAAAAAGCTATTGTCCATTGTTAATTTGCCAATCAGAATGAAAGAAAATTCAAAATGCATTTCCAGTAACTGGTTGACACCGTTGCAGGCCAAGAACGAGGATCTTGGCGCTGCTTAGCAAATGTTACTAACAGGGGTCAAATTACGTCTGCGACGCAGGCTAGCTGGGACTAGGCAATAGTAGAATTTGCTTGGGATATGTATAACTGCCATTGATATTGAATCCTATATTGAATTCTTTTGGAGTTGAGAAAATGCAGGCACAGATGTCCCAGCCTGCTTTATTACAATGTTTTACAGAAAGGAGCTGAGGCACAAACAAGAATCCAAGTTTAAAAGCTTTCTGGGTGTGCACAATGCAAGCCTTCCATTAGATCAATAATATACTGCACCTGAAGGGTGTCAAGAAGGAATGGGGTGATACTTGCTTTTCTTTTAGCTAAATGACCAACCCTCAATCACTCTTTCTACTCTTCCCGATGGTGTGTGGGGCAATTTAACCAATAATGATATTAAGTATAAAAGAAACAAATTAAAATCAACAAAAATAGAGGCAGGGCCACCTCACAATCTTTTCTTGTAAACAAAGTGGAAGGATGATCACTAAATGTTTTTATACTAGGCAACAACAACTTTCAAGTATTAACTGTTAAAAATGTTATTCAGTAACATCACAAAAGAAAGCAGGACTCCCTTGGTTCCCCCTGTATGTAATAATGCTTTTTTCTTTACTTTTTACACTAGGTGTAGCTGACAGAGATAAGGAAACTGTGTCAAGTCCCCCTAAAATAGAATTCTGCATAGTACAGTCAACAGAAAACCACAGTGCACTTCTTAAAGGAATTCCAAAAGAGCCGTTACGTAAACCTCTTGACCAACAAATCTTGTTTGGTCGTGGTCATTCAGCAGGGGTATTCCTCAATGACGATACTGCTTCACGGGAACACATGACACTTTTCATGCAAACGAACCCAGCAACAGGTGAAAATATGTTTGTTGTAAGTACAGTAAGTGAGAGCAAGCCGGTGTTTATTAATGGCACACCCTTTTATAAGAAGGCAGGCACCAGAGTTCTGCAAACAAATGATAAACTGAGAATAGGGCAGCTTGAGTTTATTGTCAATATCATGCCAGGGGATTCCATGGAGTTTTACCAAGTTGAATTTACAAAGGGAAGTAAAGGAAATCTTCAACAGCTCAATTTACAACAAGTTAATTATCCTCAGATTCAAGGACAGGCAGGGATTAACACACAGCCGATCTTCCTGGCCAATCACCCAGGTGCTGCCATTTTGCCAAATAACTATGGTGTCCCTGTACCTGGTGCCCCTGTGAATCCAGTGTTTAACATGAACATCTTAGCTGGTGGTGGCGTTACACAGTTTAATCCCATGGGAGCAGCATTTCAAGGAAATTCTGCATCATTTGCTGTACCACCTGTGCTAGTGAATCCTGGAATAGGCCAGGGATCACTACAACAATTTCCATCTAATCTGAGATATCAGGGCATCACTCCTAGCTTTCAGCCTCAACAAGAGTCACAATACCCAGGGATGTATCACCCAATGACGCCTCAGCAGCAGAGAGTGCTAGCACATGATAGAAGACAGATGTTTCACACAAAACTACCATCTGAACAAAATGAGCATCCCAAACAAATTGGGCCAGATGGTGACTTCCATGTGTCTATAGAGGAATCTGGGCTGCAAAAGACTAAAGACTAACAACTCTAAGGGGACATGTCGGGATATTTTAGAAATAAACCAGGCTCTCAAATTAACTGTGTTAAATGTGTTTGGCCACTACAATCTGAAGTAAGGTACTGTTATTCTTGGCAATAATGTGTGCAACTTTTTATTATTGCATTTTTTTTGTTGTGCTGTTGTAAGGCACTTTTGACTGCTAGCTATATGTCAGGATTGCATCAGACAGGAGAGCCTGTTACGTGCGAGCGAGCGAGCGAAAGAGAAGGAGGGACTGCAAATAATTGGCCATTGACATTCCAGTTTGGCCATTCTGTTTCATGGACACTCCTGTTTGGAGCAACTTGTGTTGCGACAAAATTCTGTCAGTAATAATATAGCACCTTTAGAAAATACAAGGAAACCAAAAAGAGGATTGAATGGCCACCCTCAGAGACCCAGCAGAACTGAAAAATAATAGTTAGGCTGATGATTTTTCAAATAATACAAAACCCATATCCAGTTTAATCTTGCCCAGTCCCATTCTTTGAGACCCGGCAGGGAAAATCAGTCTGGATGGCAAAGTAGAGACAATGCTGCATGAACACTTTTTATTGCGCTGAGTCAGGAACATTTTTAGAAATGTATCAGAACAAAATGGAAGAATAATGTTTTTTGGTTGATATTCTGAGGGTTATAAGAAATTATCTCCAAGTCATAGCATTTTATTTTTACTATAGGCAGCTTTATTTAGGTGTATATATAAAACCTGCCAACAGAAGACAGACTACATAAAATATTTTAAAAAAAAGCTTGAAAATATATCATCTATAATTATTATTTTATTAATAATATATAATAATAAGTAAATTAATATTTTTTAATTAAATGTTACAGATAGGTTCCAAACATTTGCTGTTTTATTCTTTGTTAGGTTTTATTATGGAATTGTTGACAATTATCCTTTTTCTGAGTTTACAACTGTTTTTTAAAGTGAATTTTGGATAAGCCGAGTTGTTCTGCTAATTAGAAGCTATTTCGTATAACTTAGTATTAATAATAAATGTTATGCAACAATGGAAAAAATAAATCAGAGTGCAATGATACATTGACCTTTATTCACCTTTACCTGGCTGCTACCAAAGTCAACAGCGAGTTCGCCACTGAGAACACAATAAAATTTCTGAGGTTTCTCAAAAATACATAAATTCAGCTTAGGCTTTCTCTCTTCCTTTAAACAGTCTAGCAACTCCACAAGTAAATTCTCAAAAAACTAATTTCTCAACAATATAACACAGGTTCTGTAACTTAAGTCACCATAAAATTCCAAAAATAAGCCCCTCCAAATATAAGCCCCCCAAAATCGTAATGCAAAAACCCTCCGTTAAATCGTCCCACCCAATATAAGCCCCCCCCCCACGATTATAAGCCCCTCCAAAAATAAGCCCCTCAAATAGGGCCTTTGAAAAATATAAGCCCAGGGGCTTATTTTCAGAATTTTGACGGTATACCAAAAGGCTTTTATTACCTGATGCAAATTAATCTTGGTAGCAATCCCTCAATTTTCATTCTTTTTTAGTTCTTACAAAAATGAAAAGATCTAAGTCGCTGCCTTCCTCTGTCAAATGACTAGGGAGGCGATATGGTTATTATAGACACTACATCATTTGCGGTCACGAGACGTAGAGTGATATTATACTTGCAAAGCAATAGGTCTTGCTTTTCTTGACATGACAGGATGTAGGTCTTTCTTGGTATGTGTAGTTTATAGTGTTGCATGGTATTGACAGGCTATTCACCCTTTCTGTCCAAGATTTACAGTAAACTGCTCAAATCTCTCCACATCTTCCTTTGTTACTGTACTGGTGTTTCTTGATAACACATTCAGAAAATCATCCAGAGTTACTGGGCGAGGTTGAATCTATAAGCAAAAAGAAATTGAGTGGTTGGAATCAGCACAGAATTTAACTTTACATACAAATCTTGAAAAAATCAACACTTTTTTAAGTATTTAAAACTGAAAAAAAATACATTCTGATACAACATAGAAATCCAGAGCCATCTCACAGTCTGGAAAAGATGGCAGTGGATGAATATTCAATGTTTTAATCAAATGGGAGAATTTTACATTGAGGCATATGAGGCCAACTCTTCATGAGACAAAGCAAACTCTGTCTTGGATCAACCTAAATTACCATGCTTTTCAAAAACACACAAACTCTGAAGTTCTTTAAAGCCACCTTCACAATTACGTTTTTTGCTGGCGTTAATCATAATTACAAATACAAGCAACTAAACCCAAAACACAGAAACAAACAAAGCAGATCGAAATGCACCTGTCACAAATCACAAACTGTGACCTTTTGAACCCCATGAGGTAAACTTCTGGGCTGGGTTGTTCAAAGCTGGGTTAAGATATTGAATTCAGATATGAAAGCTTAAAAGCAAATTCAGATTAATTCTTTTTGTCTACAATTTGATGAATGGATGCTCAAAAAAGAATAGAGAAAATCACCCGAGAAGATGATCTTAAACAAAAAAAAATGAAACCTGGGTTAGAATTTAACCCTGGGTTAGTGCTGTTTCCTAAGACATGGTTCCCACAGGTCAGGAAATGTTCAGGGAATGAAAAAAAATTCTTCAAGGTCAGGGAAGAGTCAGGGAATTTCACTTTGAGTCAGGGAAAATTTAAGTCTGAAAAAGGTCAGGGAAAAGTGAAATTTTAAGAGTACATATTTATTCTTTTCCCTCTGCAGTTGTTCTTTTCCAACATTTAAAATTCTTCTGTACAATTTACAGACACAAATCATGTTGAATTGGTAGAATATTGTTCATGAATTTGATGTTAAGGAACTATCAATTCACGTACACTGCACGTGACTTGCTGGAAGCAAAAACAAAATGGGCAGAGAGGACGGCTGTGCATAAATAAATGGGTGGAGAGGATTGTTGTGAGGGAAGGGTCGAGTCCATCATCAGGACTGATTTGTTGAATTGTTATTTCAGTTGGTCGGGGAAATTTTACATTTGTCAGGAAAAAGTGCAGGGAATTTGAAAAACCTCTGGCTGAGGCAACCATGTCAGAGGTCTGCTAAGATGATTGACGGTGGTGAAAAATGCAAAATGTCAGTTGGCTTTATAAGTACTAGTAAGTTAAGATCATCAGTTGGGTCAGACGTCGAACTTAAGACATGATTGAACCAATAAACTGAATAAAAGCAATTTTGATAATGTTTCACCCAAACAAGGCTAAACATACATTATCATACAAATTTTTACAGCTGATTTCATTGCTATGTATACACCCGGATTTTCAGACATGATTCGACGGTCATGATTCGACCTGTCATGATTCGACACTAATCACATGACCTATCGCTTCGCAGTACGTAAACGGTTGCAAAAATAATTGAGAGTTCTGCCGTGCGATCCGAAACAGTGAGGGAAAAACCTGGATGGCAAGGAAAGCTTAGCACTAAAGGACATAAAGTGTAACGAAGCTAGAATCCGGACAAATGTGTTTTACCTGAAGAGCAAAGCTGTGTTGCCTGGAAAGGGGCGACATGATGCAGAAATTATGATAACATGTGATACCTGGAGTTCGATTGCCGAGTTCGAATGTATTTCTGTAGGCGATTTCATAATGGACGAAATATTATCAATACGGCGAAAAGCGAATTAGTCTGATGGTTTATCGTTTAGTCAGTTCTTCCATGTGACAAGGTTTCGGTATTTTGCCGTTGGTGAATACCACCCGCAATTCACATGTGACAGTGATGCAAATTTTGTTAACAAGGAGGAAAATTTGTATTTCTTCAAGTTGGTAGTTTTTCGTCCTTACTTAGCTTCTGCATGGTTAAAAAATAACAGGAAAACCTGACGTTTTGCAGAAGAAATCAACAGATAAATTGATCGGTCTGCCGTTGTGAAAGAATTTGCTTGAGAGTTTGAAAGTTGTTTTGTCGACCATTGAAAAATATCACAATGTTCGGTCCTCGACCTATGACCCTAGTGAGCGCAAATAAAGAAAACCAGACATAAAAGAAAGCAACATTTGTTTTTATTGAAAAAGGGTAAAATATGATATTTCTTTAAAGATCAAGGTAGAAGTCCAAAAAAAGTTGAGAAAAGAGCCGAAAAACTTATTGATCGAGACGTGCACACGCCCAATAACATGTATTGCGATTAGATTGCGTGACTTGTATGAGAGGCTGTTGTCTAAAAAGGGGAACAAATTATGGATCACGGTCCACTTTTTCTGAATTACAATAGAAACATTTGAGCTATCATTAAAGTAACTTTCAGATTCTGTGCTTTGATTCCTGTAGGATAATCAAGGTAAAATACTGTACTGCTTGGTAACCTCTCGGTCGAATCATGACCGTCGAATCATGTCTAAAAATCAGGGTGTATACACAGCACTGAAATCAGCTGTAATTTATTAGTTTAGTTCATTGCATGTGAAGATTGAGGTTTGTCCCATAGATGATCCTCAAACGTTCTGTTGGTCCGAAGCAGAGAGAAAGAACATGTTGCACAATCCAAACTCATTCAGTCAAACCCAACTGAGCCAGACGCCAAACTTTTCATGGACTTAACTAAATAAAGTTGGCTCATCTCACGAAATGTTTGACGTTTGGCCTGAGGGAATCAAGGACTGATCTACAGAATTACTGGTAAATCTCTTTCTTTTATTTACATCGTATTAGTACTAAAAGTGGAGCTCCACATGCACACACGAGAGCAGAGCCGCATAGCTAAGAAAATTTGGTAATCCATCTATGCAAGAAAAATTGGTCATGACGTCAGCATATGACCGAACGCTGACCGTACAGACTCTGGGGGAGGTGGAAGGGAGTGAGGCGTCAGCCCATCAGGGGAGGAGTATGTTATAGCTGAGGTGAAAGTCTGCATTTCAGGCACCCAACTCGTTTCAGCGGTAAATTGCATGGCTGCCCAGACTTTTAGAGAGGAAAAAACAAACAACAACAAAAATGAGTCTTTCTTTCCACTTTATTTTAATGTCTACATTAACTTGGATAACAGGGAAAGAGCTAGAGCGAGAAATAAATAACAACGGAGACCAATTTTGTTGGAAGAAAAACATGAAACTGATTATATTATAGCGGCGATGACAAAAATGAGAAATACTAGTGGCTACCAAGGTGAAAATGAGTGGCAGTGAAAAAAACAGAGTGAACAGGAAGTACACAATACAAACATTTTCTCCTTAAAACATTTAAATAGGGAGTAAACAATGGCAAGGAAATGTACAAAAAAGTGTGCAGCACGAGAAAAGTTGTTTTTTTGCTAACTAGAAAGAAAGTGTGCTGCATGTGCAAAGTTGCTTTTTTTCTAATTAGATCTCTTGTTTTTTTTTTACTGTTCTCGTTGATTTTACCTTGTCTTTTTTTTCTTGATTTAATATTTTCTTTGAGGAAACTATAAATATTAAAGAGAGCTTTGCTTTTAGCCCTGCCTAAATCTATAATATTAATTATCATCATTTTAAATGACCTTGTTAATATTGTTGAAACACAAAACAATATTAGCATTGGTACTGATTTATAAGCACCCCATACACTTCTTTGAATTTGTATTACATGTAGTATTGTAGTATGTGATTATGAGTTGAAAGATTTCCTCCCCTTATCTTGTAATATACAGAACTTGTTTACAACAATGATAACCACCGTCAGTTTCATTATTTTCATGTTTTACTGTGTATATGGAAAAGGAAAATGAAATTCCAGGTGTTTTCCAAGTAATTTTAAGGGCACCACATGAATAGGACCAGAACTAGGAACATCATTTTTACTTCTCATTTTACAGGAAAAAAGCAACACCACTTGTAATAGCCAATTAATGTTCAATTTCCTTATCAAAATAATTCAATAGCCACAGCATTTTATCAAAAAATTCCAGGAGTAGGTAGAAAAAAGTGATTTTGTAAAAAAGTATTTTACAGGGCCCAGGAAGTATTAAGAGTTGATTAATTTACCAGGAATTGCAGAGCTAGTTTATCAAAAGCGACATTAACCATCAACAGTCATTAATCCTCACCTTATCAGATGGCAGATCAATTAATAATGAGTGTATACAATCGTTTTCCCTTTCTGAACAAGGACTGTAAAATAAATCTGTAAAAACATAACAGAATAGAATGATAATAATGCAACAAAATGAGACTGGGACCCCAGTTGGTAGGGAGGGGAAATGGGAATTCATGGGACTTGGTTATTAAATTTGGCTAAGAACATAACCCTAACTACACAGATGTGTGAACCATGCATGCTTGCCTTGTAGTACAGGCACGAGGCACCCCCTTGGCATGAGGTCATGTGCTAAGGCCCCTCACCCAGTGGATTATCCAGTTGGACCGGTTTCTATCTTAGCACTGTTGGCTTTTCCTGGCCAAGCTTTACCCACCAAGGCTTTGTATATTAGTTTTTTCTTAGTAGAAGAGGCAATCTTACTTTTGTCTAGTTTCCAATGAGCATTATGTTCTAATTCACGCACAGGTTCAAACATGGCATCTGATGTGCAGTTAGACAAATCACTTCCAGAGAACCCTTCCACTCTGTCACCCAACAAACACCAGTCCTCTGTGGACAGTGATACAGGAGTTGCTGCCAAGTGCATCTTAATTAATGCAATCCTTGCCTCTCTATAAATAGTAAAAAAATTAAAGAAATTAAAGTGTATGATCACTCTTTGATTCATGTCGCAAGTGACAAATAAATAAAAACAATCTTTTTTACTTTTCTCTCAGAGGGATGAGCAGTGCCCATCCACTCCCATGCAGAGATAAGGAAGGAGGCACTGATCTGGAAAATATTTAACTGCCCTGTACACCACAGTTTAGTCCAAAAAATAAGGATGGTTTACCCATTTTCTAGATCCACCATGAACATACAATCAAGATTCCCAGTATTGACACCCCAAATCTCAACAGAGACTTCGGTCTTCAACTTTTAATCCTGTAAGTAGCAGGACACTAATTTTTGACACACAGCAAGAGAGGTGTTGTGGTGGTTCTGAAAGCTCAGAAGAAACCATTTTTCTTGGACTCCGAAAAGGAAAGTTTTCATCCAATGACAATGTATTTTAAAAAATTGTTTGATACAAACTTACTGAACAGAAGAATTGCATGAAAAGTTTCCCTGACTTATTCTTAATCTTTATTTTCCCTTACTTTTTCATTAATTAAAATTATTTCATAGATAGATTATTTCTAAAGATAATAAATGTTAATTACTCACTTATCTGGCAGAGGAATATATATTCTTTTTTGAAATCTTCTCAGAAAGGCTGTATCTAGTTCCCAAGGACAGTTTGTGGCACACAGCAGGATAAAATGCTGAGGTGAAGCACTATGATCAGTACCCTCCATCTACAACAAAACAAGTTCAATTCGTTAACAGCAGAAATGGGAATAATAAAATTATTTATAATAACAAAAGATAAAGTTTTTCAAATCAAAAAATGAATTTAGGATTTTTTTAGAGTTGCTACTGAAAGAGAATTATAAACAAAATTTACTTAAACTAGTATTATTATAACCTGTTTAAGTAGTTCAGTCTTTATTCTTCTTGTGTACTCCTCTTCACGCATACTTCTCTTTCTACAGATGCTATCAATCTCATCTATAAAGACAACCTAGTAGACAAAATAAGTAAATTAAATTAAATAGATCTCATTAATTTCATTACAGCTACCTGCCTCTAGACAATGGAAATAGATCTATAGTTGTACTATCTCAACTATACAATCCAACTGTCAATACTAATAACGAATTTAATACTAGTCTCTATGGCAGATAACCAAATTTAATTCATGGAAAATGGAAGCATTCACTTAACAACCGGGGTTAATTTAAATAATTTATGAAGAAATACCATAAAGTGGAAATAAGTTTCAAGTGTTATACCAAATTATCCACTGAGGAAAATCATTAAAAAAAAACAAGTCTACAAAAAATCTGATTGGTACTGTTTATTCTGAGATTAGATTTAAGGTAATGCAAGGTAAAATCTTTTTCTTTAAATGGGGGTAACACTAAAATTAATAGCAGAGCTAACAGACTTTTGGATTCACCGAAAAAATTATTCTAGAGTGTAATACTTACCGATTGACCCAGTTGACTTGTTGCATTGTGAAAGAGCTCTTTGATAAGTCTTGAAAGAAAACATTAACGGATTAAAATAGTTGGGTGGGTTTATAATTCCTTAGCAATTAATGAATGAGGCTGAGCAGGATATGAAGAATTGTGCAGATCTCGCAGGGTGTTAGGAAGGCCTTGGCGGATAACATGCTCCGAGATCTGCATAATTCTTTACATCCTACGAAAGCCCAATTCATTAACTGCTTTATTATTAATTCAATTCCTAGTTTAAAAACAAGCTAAAACATGCCTACCTTCATCGATGTTAAGTTCACCTTGATAGTGCATATTTAGAAGGTAAAGGGCTGTTCAGGTCTGCAAATATACTCCTAATAGCAAATGTTGTCTGTTGAGTTGTCTTCTGTTATTAAACAATAGTTCGACGCAACCAAAACAACTCAATCTCTTCCCCAGGTCTTCACGCTTAAAGGTACATTAACCAGCAACTGTGCTGCACTTTTGAAGTCATTGGTTGATAAATTGCAAAATTCTTCAAAATTTGGTCAACAGTAGCTGGTTATGGTGAATTAAGAGTGTGCTTTAGCCAATCAGAAACTGAGATATTTTTTAAATTAATAATAATGCATTTTAAAGGATTTTTAGCTTGTCTGATTTCTCTGTTCCAATTTATCATAAAAGTTTTGTTCTTAATAGTGAAAGGAAAACTCAGTAAGCTCTGCAAAACATAGTCTGATTAGTTACAATAATTTAATGTGACACCAAATGATAATAATTATACTTGTCTTCAACTGCAATAGTTTTCTATTTTGTTTGTGTGTTTTTAATAAATTATTACTCTTTTAGTGGGAATTCCATTCTGAGGGGCATTATTTTTTACTCAGGTGCCCTTCCTCTTTTGTACAAACAACAGTAACTAAAAAATATAAATTAATAACAATAAATCTTTTCTGGGGTTTGACATAAGTTACTCAGTCAGGGCGCTTTTTAATAGGAAAGGAGAAAGCTTCTGTCTGAACAAATTTTGTTCACTCTTTCACACCCTGGCTAGTGTCCACCATACTTACTTTTCACTTTCTCCAACCCAGCTGGACACAAGATCAGAACTGGACACACTGTAAAAAGTTGAGTTGATCTCTGATGCTACTGCTTGGGCTAGCCTTGTTTTACCTGTACCAAAATAATAAATTATAATGATCAGCAAAATCAGTCACACACAAAAAAATAATAGATGTACTGTTCTTGTCAGCTTACAGGCACTCCATTTACATGATTGCAAACAAACATGAAGAAAGATTTGTAGTTGTTAGCTGGATTAATTTTTTATTACAATCAAATCCTTTTTATGCAGTCACCTTTAGGAAGTAGTTGAGTGCTCATTTGATACAAGTTGATAGATGTTCTAACACTGAGCAACAAAAAACAGTCAAACAAAAGAACACACATGTTGCTTGGATCTACAGGTAAAATACATGATTCTATTGTTTGTAGAAACAAAAATGCAAAATAAGGTAAAAAAATGTCTCATCCAGTATAAACTGCTGGTGTTTGTATGAACAAAATGACACTGATGCATTACTCAAGAAATTCCTAGAGACGCCTATCCTATGGACAAGGGAAATGTCCTCAAGGGAAACAAGTTACTAAATTGATCTTGAGGTTTGCTTGAATATCTATAGTTTTCCTTAGGGTTTGGTTCAATGTATCAATTGAAGCTGGTCATATAAAAAGGGCCTGAAAAATGCTGAGCTGCCATCAGGTCAGGCCCATGCAGGGAAATTTAAACATAGCATTGTTAGAATGAGCCGTTTGACAAAAGTGGACATGTATGTTTCACCTATCTGTAAAAATTTTGCTGTTATAGAGCTGTAGGCGACCACCGTTTCATAGAGGTGAAATACATTAAATTTAACCAATTAGGAAGTATAGAGGGTGATCATGTCGGTTAAAAAGAGGTGATTGTACCCTGGCTCCAGAGGTCCGTTCTTGAATTATGGTTTACCTTGGATGCAATAAACCATGCTTACAGTTTGATAAAGCTCCAGAGACAGACCTCTGGTCACACAAGCAAGCAACCTCATTTCCAGGATGTGAGAATCAGTTCAGAATCTGAACTGGGCTGCTGATTGGTTACACCCATGTCAGCAGGGAATTAATGATGTAACAGCAAACTTGATTGGCTCCATAGAAGAACTTCACCGCATGAGATTGAAAACTGGTTTTGATGTTAATAACAAACAATTTGGAGAGACCATCTTAAGTTCTTTTAGAAGTGCAGCTCAGCAATCTCTGGCTAAAATGCGAAATATGCAAACATCTGTCAACTGAATCAAAGTTGGACGAGGAAGAAGCTTTGTTTGAATTTATCCAACAAAAGGACGTAGTTTGAATGAATGTGATGATTTCCTGCTCTGCGTGCTTTGTCATGCTGGAACTATTTTTGCACTGTTGTTTGCACAAAGTTGAATTCTCAGGAATAGTACCCTGGGTGCTGGTTTTTTTTTTCTTTCTTTCCTAATTTTTTTATAGTTTGTGGCGTGGTTTATGTGCTACAAAATCAGCAACTAATAATATATTGCTTGGCATAGCCATTCTGTCTGGCAATTTTTAGTTTGACCAGGTACAGTAATACCCCTGTTGCAGACAGGAAATTCTTAATTGTTATCCTGTTGACTTCTAAAAACAGCTAGTTACAGAATGTGTACTTCTGTCCTTTTTATATGCTTGAAACTTAATGTGTACTTTTGGGAAAGGAATTTGTGACAATTCTGTTTTCAGCTGTCAGAGTCAACGAAAACAAACATTCTCATCAGCTCCAAACCCGGTTTGGTGACAAGATAATTATATGATCCTAAAATTGCATGGAAATGAGACTCGTAGTTCCTGTGGTGACCAGAGGTTTTTTTTTCTCATTAATAATGCTTAATGTGCCTCGCTGTTGCAGCGTTGTTCGAGGTATCAGGAATTAGATAACAAAAAAATAACCTCTGGAACCAAGGGTAAGGTGACTGCTCAATAGAGGTCAAATATTTCACTGTAAATATGGAAAACAAACTGCAGGAATTTGATTGGTGACCACTTCATAGAGGGTGACTGTTTAACAGGGAGGGTCTCGCGCAGGTTTGACTGAAAATGATCACCTGTCCCTGGAGGTCCATACAGAAGTATTCTACGCCAAGGTTGTCGACCGCCTGAACAAAGAAGATACATGTAGAACAATGATATCAATCCATTATTCATAAATAATAATAAATTATTATTATTTGTTGAAATAAGTTATCAAAACTTTTTGGTATATACAAATCTCCCTACATTTACAAAGTATGCATGGGATAACCCTTATCAAACAACATGTATATGGAAAGGGAATGAAATTCCAGGTGTTTTCCAAGTAATTTCAAGGGCACAAAGATCATTGACCACCTGAACAAAGAAGATACATGTAGAACAATGATGAGATCAATCCATTATTCATTGTAGTTAAAATAAGTTATTGAAATTTTTTTGGTAAATACAAATCCCCTGACCTTTTGCAATATAAGCATGAGATAACCCTTATCAAACAACACGCTGTTGTATTTACCATGAAAAGCTCTTTACACTTAAGGAGCAGTTTGTTTCCCAAAAGAAGAGGAGAATGATCTTCCTATGGGGTAATGGGGTGCTTATTAACTTCAGCAACGGTGTTATTAAAAGTTTTTTTTTAAACAAGAAATTAATGAGTGGTTAAGGCCATCAAATACACCTGTAAGTTAGTGTTGACAATGTTAATGATATTTTTTTCAACAAGGAAATAAAAAAAATGCACTGACTCTTATGTCAGAATAATTTAAAATTATAACAACCTATCTAATGTGGTAAGGGTCCCATGCAGCTAGTCGCTTACGTGGTACAAAACCACCATGCTGGAGAGCAAGGAACACACTGGAAAAAGATAAACACAAGAAATTACCATTTAAATGATGTAAGCTGTTTGTTTTTCTTGTCCCAGTCATCTTTTGCTCTCCAGCATGGGGTGAATGACTACAGTCGAACCTATATGTAACGGCCCTGTATTAAGCGGCCACCCTCTGTTAAGTGGCCAGTTTTCAAAGTCCTGATTTTTCACTCATACAAACGCTGTATTTGTTACTTGTATTAGGCAGCCACCTCTATAAGTGCGGCTACCCTGCAGCAGTCCAACGTTTGTCTTTCTTTGTTATTTTGACCCGTTTTAAGGGACCTGCCCTTGAACGGAAACTAAGCCATATGTCATTTCATGCGGTATTTTATTGTGTTTAAAATGCGATCCATCATCACTATAAAGAAATAACAACAGCTACTGTAAGCTGATACTCGGCTGTTTAATATCGTTATCCCTTTCAGGTGTCATCAGATTCTTGCACAGTGCTTTTACACAATGTTACATATATTATGCTGTTAAGTTACAAGTTGAAGTATTGATCATTTGAAACAGTGTTGATTGTCCTATTGTTTCCTTGCATGAAGTGTTCAGTTTTGTAAGATAGGCCATTAAAATTGACATAAGACCATGCCCAGTAAGTACTTTTAGTGATCCTGTATTAAGCGGCCACCTATATTAAGCGGCCAGTTCCTCAAGTCTTGAGGGTGGCCGTTATATACAGGTTTGACTGTAGCTGCAAAGGGCCTATTACGATAAAGAACATTCTAGTGAAATAATCTTACCTGTGAATAGCTGTGGAAACTGTAGTGGCATAATGATAGCTTCCTTTAATGCCTGCTTTGTATTAGTAAGGCCCACAACATCACAGAATTTCACAGTACCTTTTTGTACAATGGTGTCTTCAATAGCTACCCTACGCCTGCATTTGAAAATAATTAATCATTGGCAGAAAGACATTATTACATACTGGCAAGAACATCAGAGTATGCTTTAAAGATTCTTTTTTAAGAAATATTTTTTGCTCTATATCTAAGTTTTCCTTTGTCCTAATAATGAATGATGCCAGCATCTGTTCAACCAATAGACTGAGGCTAGCTGTGCCAAAACAAAGCTTTTTAAATCTCCTGAGACAAAATGGCCGCCATGCAACAAAGGTGTATTCACTCCTAGAGTTAACTAAAAACAGATGAGTGCTAGTTGCAATGCAGGGCTGTGCTCAGCAGAGCCCGGTGGCCCATGGTGCCTAACTTTTGCCCTTGGGCGACTAGAAAATCTCATTTTTTTCATACAAATCATATGCTCGGTGCCACCGAGATTTTACAGGTTTAGAGCACAGGGCTCCCTTCAATTTTCTTTAGAGCACAGCCTTCCAACAGATCACAGTTGAGGTACTACAGAGTATTTATTTTTCTGGGTCTTGGACACTTGAACATAATAATGATAACATCTCCTTTCCGGGCTCTCTCCTCTTCCTGTCCTCTGGAATGAGACAGGGTAGGTCACAGTGAAGAAACCCAGGCTGGGAATTACGTGGTTGACTATGACAACTCACCTTTTACACTCATCATCATCCTTTACAGCTCCTTTTTCTATGAATTCAGGAGATGAATGAGAGAGTGTGAGTGACCAATATGAACTAAACATGATACAACAGTAATAGAGTGGAAAAAAATAAATATAAGTCCAGTTTTTGTGTACAAAAAGAGCAAGAAATAAAAACTATAAGGTTTTCCGCCATTTTGAGCTAATTAATCCTTTTATCAGTCAAAAATCTTAAATACTGACAACCATTTATAATGAGCAAGACCTGAAGCTGGTGCACAACTAGACGTTACCATAGAGCATGCCTGTCTCATTGATCTTAACTCCATCAAGTTGGCTTTTCTTGCTACAAAGAATCTCGAGATAACCTTGAAGTGACAAGGACAATTCGTTCAAAGCCCCCTAGCAAAAAAACGCTCAAAATTAGGTGGCAAAAAGCAGTCACGTGAACTTTCCACAAAATTTCTATTAAAAAAATCAATGGTCAACTGATGTGGATCAGGGCTATCACAAAGATATCAAATTGCTGAGTATAATTAAATATTATGCAATGAGCAAGTGGGAAATTAAACAGCTAGGAAGCTCTCTTGATTTGCTTTTGTTTCTTATAAAGCGTAATAAATAGGCAGGGGAGATCCCTGGCCCCCAGCCATAAGTGATAGCCCTGCTTGAAATTGTCATGTTTATTAGGGTTTTTTGTATCAAATTATTGGCATGAATGTCCAGTATGCACAAAGCAATATCAACCTACAAATTCTCACACTTTTATAGGGATATCTAAAATCAACCTTTTAGAATCATTCTTTACTATTATTAATAAATTATAGGTAATGTACTGTTTAAACAACAGAAGGTTTAAATGAGGTTAAATTAAAATACTTATTTAACTTAGTTAATGACAAGGAGCTGGCTGCTTAGTAGTTGGCTTGGCGTTAGTGTGGCGTTGGTATGGCATTTGAATTTGTTAGCATTTTATTGGCATTGCTTTGGCGAGCCGGCAGTTATCCTATGCTCTGATGCTATTGCAAGGGTTTGTGTTAGCATACTAGGCCTGTTGCAGGGCAATTTCCTGTGCCCCCCTGGGTCAGCGGTTTACTGTTGCAATTTATGCGTGCGCATTTACATGTGCTTGTAGTTTTACAGTGCATAGTGTTCAGGGCATCTTGCTCAGCTTTAGTGTTTTTCCCCTCCCTCCCCTCGCTTATTATTATTATTATTAGTAGTAGTAGTATTGTCCTTATTTCTCCACTGAACTCTTGGTTCAGTGTGACAGGTGCTTGGGCAGGGGCTGAGTGTGGTGGGCGGGGCTCAAAGCAGGGTTGCAGGCAAGATTTTGGTGTGTTCTTGCTACCTGGGTTAGGGGCTTGGTGGCTTCAGCCTCCAGGTTCCTAGGCACCCAACCTCCATTTGTGACGCTGGCATTAAACCAAAGTTGTGCCAAAGTTGTTCCATTCAAATGGTCATGTTACAGCACAGGACAGTTTTCACTTTTCATTTTAACCCAAAAAGATCTTGCAGTGATTTTTTTTACCTCTGCATCCTGCATTGCTGATGCATAAAAATCCCCAAACACGCAAAGTTATTCATGGCATGCATCCCATAGGATGCAAAGATTGATTGATCGATCTCAACATGTGTATTTGTAGAAATATCCGGCCAGTCCATGTAATTTCTGTGGCAGTTATTATGGCTGTTGTGATGAGTCTTTCTTGTAGCCTTTGCTGTGTTTCAATAGAAGGAATATCCTACTATAATTTCAGTATACTGTAATACAGAGTTTTGGAGTCTGTCCTCATATTAACTGTTTGGTTACGTAAAGGCCCAAGCATTTTCAATTTTGGACTCTATTTTTTTTAACTGGGACTCATTGGTTCTGGACTGGGACTTTGATGATTTTTCACAAGAAGAGTCTCAGGACTCACCATACCTATTTGTAACAAAATTACTGATCTTGCCCAAGTTGGTTTTTGCACTTAATTGATAATGTATCCCTGATTGTATCCAGAGGCCAGCAGGTAAGCTAACCTCATTCAGCATTGTACTCACCAACTTAAGTGCATCTTCTTCTATTGGAAGAAGCATCTGAATACACTCATAAGTGTTCTTACAGTTTCCGATTAGGATGTTGAGGTCAACATTATCTGCTTTCTTACTTTCTGACACAGCTTCTTCAAGCCTATAATTATGAATAGATAATCTACGATATTTACCACAACCTTCCTGGATCAAGATAAATATACTGTTAAGTGTGCAAATTATCAAAGCAATTTTCTCTCCTAAACTAAACTTAAATGTATAAACAACATACAGGTCTATATATTACACTGCAAATCTCTGTGCTAAAATAATGATTTCAACAACAATATCTTTATTTTATGTGAACGCTGTAAATTAATTTTTTTAAAAAAATTAATAAATGTAATTGTACCTACCAGCTAACAGCATCTTCAGTTGAAAAAAGGTTTATGCAAAGCAACAGAGATGATCATGACAGATGTTAGCACTGTTACCATGATACAGTTTAAAAAGTTCATAACATTAGAATAATCGTTATTGTCAAATTGAGTTTAGACAAATCTTAGACAAAGTTGACCAATCGGATTACAGAAAATAACAATACATTTCAAGAAAGTTGGTTGTGGGCCAATCAGCAGTTTGTAATAAAACAATAAGTTACTTGAAGCACACAATTGATAGCGTACCTTTTTCAAGACGGCAAAATGTTTCACCAGACAATGTTTTTCTATTGAAACTTTACATATAACACCCGGGAGACATATTTGTTTGACACAAACTGTTATTTTGTTGTCATCAACCAGCAATTTCTTTGCTACATTGCTGTGGTTTGCAATAACATCACTACCTCAAGTCAAAAGTTTAACAAACGTTTATGTTTTTTCCCCCGTCATGAATTCACTCTAACAGATCTCTCAGGAAATACAGGCTTTCTTCAGCAGGTTCAAAAAGTCACATCTGCAGGTTGTAATAATAAATATGCTTGCTTTCAATCCACGTTGTTTACTTCGATTATGACTGACGACCAACTTCTTGGAATGTACAGGGTTGTCAAAAGTAGCCAGCTGCCAGCAAAAATTGCTGCCTACTTGGTAGTAGCGGCTGGCTACTCTGCTTAGCATTTCTTTACGGATGGCGTTTTTAAAATAAAATATCCCTGGACTGGCTTCTTACTTTACCCTTGTTTGTTTGGTCTGAAAAAGGGTATGGACTTTACAGGCCCAGTCTGAAAATGGGTATGGAAAATGATTCTTGTTGCTCTGAAATAGGGTCAGGATTTGGAGAGCTGGGCAACACACCCCCAACAAGAATTCCCAGGAGTGCCCCAAGGTAGTCTGCTACACAGCTGTTTTTGGTGTCATCATGCAATGCTCCTTACCCCAAATGGCTGCTGAGAATCGAACCAAATTCCTGCATATGCATTTAATATCCCCCCTCCCCGCCCCCCAGGATATAAAAAAATGAGAATTTCTGTAAGAGAAGAGTAAAAACACATGGAATTCAGAGTCATATTCNGACACAAACTGTTATTTTGTTGTCATCAACCAGCAATTTCTTTGCTACATTGCTGTGGTTTGCAATAACATCACTACCTCAAGTCAAAAGTTTAACAAACGTTTATGTTTTTTCCCCCGTCATGAATTCACGCTAACAGATCTCTCAGGAAATACAGGCTTTCTTCAGCAGGTTCAAAAAGTCACATCTGCAGGTTGTAATAATATGCTTGCTTTCAATCCACGTTGTTTACTTCGATTATGACTGACGACCAACTTCTTGGAATGTACAGGGTTGTCAAAAGTAGCCAGCTGCCAGCAAAAATTGCTGCCTACTTGGTAGTAGCGGCTGGCTACTCTGCTTAGCATTTCTTTACGGATGGCGTTTTTAAAATAAAATATCCCTGGACTGGCTTCTTACTTTACCCTTGTTTGTTTGGTCTGAAAAAGGGTATGGACTTTACAGGCCCAGTCTGAAAATGGGTATGGAAAATGATTCTTGTTGCTCTGAAATAGGGTCAGGATTTGGAGAGCTGGGCAACACACCCCCAACAAGAATTCCCAGGAGTGCCCCAAGGTAGTCTGCTACACAGCTGTTTTTGGTGTCATCATGCAATGCTCCTTACCCCAAATGGCTGCTGAGAATCGAACCAAATTCCTGCATATGCATTTAATATCCCCCCTCCCCGCCCCCCAGGATATAAAAAAATGAGAATTTCTGTAAGAGAAGAGTAAAAACACATGGAATTCAGAGTCATATTCCTCAGGGTGTCCACCCATATTTTATGGAAGTCTTCAAGGGTGAATTAATCTTCAGGGTAAGATTTCCATACAACCCCTACATTTATTATGCATACAAAATTAAACTATTTGTCACGAAAAGTAAGCTTTAATAATATATGATTGCTGCATGCATGTATACATGTATAGGGTTGTACTGAAATCTTAATGAACAAACCTCGTAGTGTTCTTACCTGCATAAAGGTCTAATCTGCTCATGTTATTACATTTTGTGACCGTTCCCACAACGGAAACAAAGGAATTAAGGCGAAAACACTCAGCTTACAAGTTCTCCTGACAAAACCCATGACGATAAAAAGCTCGCTCCCGCCGCTGTAGCCTTGCTCCCGCTCCCGCGATCCTGCTATCCGTCCCAAAGGCATCATGGGAAATATTTGTCAAGAGATTGCGTGACAAACCTGTCCACCATTTCTTCCAAATATTGAAAATTGTAGCTCAGTTTTTTAGAGCCGACTCAGATTTTATCATTTTAGCCCTGAAGGAATCAAGAATTTCATCATTTTTTAAATCTCATACATTATTTTTACGTAAATATTTTGTCTTTCTACCGGTGGACGAATTGTGTTTCAAAGCTGCCCTTCATCGTTCCCCGTGGTTGAGACGATTCAAAAGAGAGGAAATATCACAGAAGCCGCCAGAATTTCCTGAAATTATGAAAGTATTTTTTTTATGAGCAAAACCACAGGTAGCCCAAGCTCCAAATATGAGCATCGGCGTGCATCGGCATTGTTGCGTAACATTCAAAATATAAGGATTACTATTATTATTATTTTTCTATTATTTTTTTTTTATTTTTTAATAATCTTTATTTCTTAAGATAAAATTACATATCCTAAGTTACAATATAAACTCAAAAAACTATTTACATATCATATCTAAAAATTATTCTGTTACTAAAAACGTTCTTAAACCTGTCAGTGTAGATTCTAGGGACAGAGACTGACGTATTTCTAAGATTGTACCTCCTGTTCTTTTCCCTAGGTAAAAACTGGAAGAACGGACATTCGGGATCATTCGATCTTTTTTGTAGAGTGTCTTGTCCGCCTTCTCTAGCAAGTCCCTGATATTTACATTCTTGGACATAAACTTTCTTTTCATACACTGGTCTAAAAAATTCTGTACTACAGAAAGGTCGGAATCTGAGGCACCATAAACCGGCAGAGCGTAAGAAAAATTTGGTAAAACTATTGTGTTAAAAAGGTGATCTACTTCCTCCTGGGACATTCCTTCCTTACGTAAAGATCCTAATACGAATAATGACTTTTTCGCCTGAATTACCTTCGCGCGCACGTGACTACTGTATTTACAATTTTGTTGGAAAGTAACACCTAATATGGTAACTCTGCGCACCGCGGTATATTACTAACCGCAGTGCGCAGAGTTATCCATATTAGGTGTTACTTTCCAACAAAATTGTAAATACAGTAGTCACGTGCGCGCGAAGGTATGGGGAAAAAACCTATCGTTTCCGTAACCTACGAAAATGAGAGGATTTCAATACAAAAACAGCTTACCTTACTTAAAATGTGTGTTACGTCTCTCCTGTGTGGTGCACGGGCCGATTTATAGCCGTTTTATGGGTTTTTATGTAAACGGTTTTCTATAGAGAGAAAACCGTTTACATAAAAACCCATAAAACGGCCATAAATCGGCCCGTGCACCACACAGGAGAGACGAAACACACATTTTAAGTAAGGTAAGCTGTTTTTTATTGAAATCCTTTCATTTTCGTAGGTTACGGAAACAATAGGTTTTTCCCCATACAAATCCTTATAGAGTGTTTTCACATGACGTCACGGCGGCCATATTGGTGTCCCAAAACAATGAAACGGCGGCCATGTTGGTGTCCCAAACCAATCCTCTGGGGGTTGTACTCTTTTCTTATGCAAACGCTGTCTTTTGTTCCTATAAATTTGCATAGATGCTGGCCACGTGAGTGAAAACAGTCTATATTTTGAATGTTACGCAACAATGTCGATGCTCGCCAATGCTCATATTTCGAGCTTGGGCTACCTGTGGCAAAACTATGTAAGACATGCAATAAAATTTTTGAGACTGCTCAGTCAAATTAACTTACAGTACTTCAGTCGTAACCATCCTACGTACTTCCTACGTACGTGGTAAATGGTGCGTTACTGCGCTGATAAGATACAAGGTCTTGTCACTTCCGAAAGAAATTACGGGTACCAGATACACGGGAAGTTGAACAATTATTTCCATCCATTGCACCCTATATACCTGATTTCTTCCTGATTTCAAACCTTCTTCAAACCTGACTTATTTCCTCCGGAAGTCGTGATGTCGTCAATCTCGTCCCAGTGCTCACACGTGCGGAAAGCATCGCAGGGGGTAATCTGTTATGTTTGCTACGAGGCGTTGGAATTGTCCGCCATCTTTACAGGAATATTTGACATCGGATTATTGGAAGTTGAGACCTTGTTGATTCCATTTTTTTCACTGGTTGCAGAGTAACTTTAAGGGTCAGTCATGTCCGTTAGGCGTCAATTAAAAAATGTGGTTAACAACTACTCTAACGCCGAAGTAAAGGTCCGCGAAGCGACGTCAAACGATCCTTGGGGCCCGTCAAGTTCTGTAATGACTGAAATTGCCGATGCTACTTACAACGTTGTCGCCTTTTCGGAAATTATGGGGATGCTATGGAAAAGACTTAACGATCACGGAAAAAATTGGAGGCATGTATACAAGTCATTGGTGGTTTTGGATTATATCATTAAGACCGGCTCTGAAAGGGTCGCACAGCAGTGCAGAGAAAACTTGTACGCCATTCAAACTTTGAAGGATTTTCAGTTTATTGATAAAGACGGTAAGGATCAGGGAATGAATGTGCGAGAAAAAGCAAAACAACTTGTTGCGTTGTTAAAAGACGAAGATAGATTGAAGAGCGAAAGAGCGCGAGCTTTGAAGGCGAAGGAAAGATTCGCTCAAGCCAGTTCGGGGATTGGAAGTGATTCATTAAAATCGGGTAACTTGCGAGACACAAGCAGCGCCTCTGACATCCGTTTTGACAGTTCGTCAGTCCCAGTTACCTCTACAGCCCCTACAAGCCGTTCATGGGAACCAGAAAGGAAAGTTGTAGGAAGTGAGATGGAAACTTGCCGTCCATCGAATGCTAATGAAGAGGAACTGCAGCTACAACTTGCCTTGGCACTCAGCAAACAAGAAGCTGAAGAGAAGGTGAAAATGAAAGAAAGGGAAGATCAACGCCTTCAGCTAGCAATAAATCAAAGCCAACAACAATCAGGGCATCCTCAAGAGCCTTCTTTGTTAGATATTGCCAGTGGAGCCAGTGCACCACCACCACCACCACCTCAAGAAACGTTTGACCCATGGGGCTCTGCACCAGCCGCCGCAGCTCCTCCAGCGTCAATGCCGATGCCGCAGCCTGATCCATGGGGGAGTGGTGTCACTTCAAGTGCCAGTACTACTTCTGATCCTTGGGGTTCTAGTCCACCACCTCCCCAAATGCCTGTGAACACTTCCCAGAATTTGTTTGCTGTAGCTAATGGAACAGCCAGCATGGGAGCTGTAACAAGCAGTGATCCTTGGGGGGCAGCCCCTGTGCAAGCTGCCCCACCTGTAGCACCTGTTGCAAGTGACCCTTGGGGAGGAGGGGGTTCATTCCCTGCACCAACAGCATCACAGCCACAAAACCTCTGGGGACCAGCCCCTAGTCAAAGCTTTGATGCATTTAACCAGAATAATGCTGCGGGAGGATTCCCAGGCCTACCCCCAGCTGGAGCATTCAGCATGCCAAGCAGTAATCAAGGCCCTGAGCCAACAAAGCAGCCATCATTCCTGGATAACAGTGTCTCTAATCTGGTGAACTTAGATTTGCTTACCGAGAAGCCTGATACTGTCAAAAACCCATTTTTACCTGGCCAACCTGTGGTTGCTAAGTCAACAAATCCATTTGTCCAAGAAAAACCCCAAGCTCCCACATTGAACCAGCTTCGTGAGACACCAGGTGTTGCTATTGGTACCGTCAGCAGTGTGCCCAATATGGGTGGAAATGTGTTGTTGCCTACACCTCTTATTCCAGAATCTGGTCCAAGACCCCAACAAGTGCAGAGCAATCCTTTCTTATGAGGAACAAGGAAAATCTCTCTGAAACATGTAAGTTTCTTTTTTTGTATACCAGAAATGTTTGAGTTGTTTGTTTTGTAGCCTGAGTAGCAGACACTTATGATTTTAGGGAAAAGGGAGAAATATGGAGGATGTGCATGCACAAAGGCAGAAAAGAACCCTGGTTTCCCATTTACATCCACACATGACAGCACTGCATAAAAAATGTTTGAAAGCAGTTAGCAACATGACCCAAGGAGGAAAATAACCTTGTGTATTTTGTATATATTTGCGTAAAGCAAACAATGCAATTTTAAATTAGTAGTGAGGTTTTTGTCAACAAAACATGCTCCCATATTCATGTCAAACAATGATGGTGATTTCAATTAATTCATAATTTTGTCCACTGCTGCTTCAGTTACCTTTGCTGTGTGATCGCAACTTATGCTTTGTGACAGGGAAATATTGACAATGCTTCAATGTACAGTCAGTTAAAGTCTTTGCACCCCAGTCAGCAGAACAAATAACTGGAAAATTAAACTTCTCTGAACCTGGTTTGTATTACTGCCATGAGATCTTTACCAAGAAAAAAACAGTGCAAGGGAAATTAAAAACCTCTTGCAGGCACAATTCAAACAGTTCTTTTGCTATGCAGACACATTTTCAAAAAGTGATGATAATTATTGTCATCAGTGTTGGGAATTAAATAGATGTGCTGCATGTATGTTTTTTTTCAAGACTCAAATTTCCATTGACTGACAAATTAATAATGCATTGAAGTGACAGAATAACTCTCTAGGGCCTTCACTTCAGACGCCTGCTCTCCCTAATGTTTCCTTGCACGCTTGATAAAAAACTTACCAAAAGAAACCATTCAGAACCTGCCACTTGGGTTATTTATTTGTTTGTTGTTTTTTATTCTTATGTGTCCGATTGATCTTGAATTTACCCTGTGTTTTGTTGGATAAAAATTGTGTTAGCTGAATTCTAAATCATAAGATTTCAAAATAAAACTGGCTTGAGAATTTTAAAGTGAAGTGAAATTTAATGGCAATTCTGTCTTACCCCTTAAAGTCCCAAAAGTGACCAACTTTAACAATATCAATACAAAATCAAGAGAAAAGGTTATGACAAGTGCTTAAGTGATCACCTAAAAGTGACTTATTTTCTTTATCAGATTCTCTCAACGAATTCCGAAGGGAGATAATATGTGGAGATACATGGAAGTCTGGAGAATTTGTATGTAGATATTGGGGTTTTAAGGGACAAAGAGTGACCCTTTTGGTAGTTTGGAAGCTGGAGCTTGTCATGAAGGACTTTAAAATGATGTTGTTTTTAATATTAAATTAATGTTCTTAATAAAGTAATATTATTATTATAACAGATTTGCCAAAAGTCAGCAACAGAACCTAAAAATACAAATGCCTCGGTGCCATCTTTGTTAATGAAGTTTTGTTCTTTTTTTACAGCAGAAGCTGTTCAAGGTGGTAAGGAAATTGGGTAGCAATGATGGTGATGCACAATGTAAATAGACTTCAAATTTATTAACAAACTCCAATGACTTGTAAGATAAGGTAGTCTCAGTCCAAACTGGTGAACTTCAATAGTATGATAACCTGGCATTTGTTAGGAGAATTAAACGATTTATGAGAGATCACTTGAGGCTAATTCCAGGCACTCCTTTAATATGGGTAGGTAATCATACAATTTTTAGTTCAATGTGGAATTTATTTGCGCAAGGGTGTTTTCAAACAGTATGAAAATTGCTTGATTCCATAGAGCCAATTCAATTTGAACTTTTTGAGAAACACACAAGTGTAAGTAAATTCCAAATTGAACATTGAAGAAAAGCTTTATAATTACCATTTAATAATATACATGAAAAAACTTTTGTGATCAAAATTCATCCCCAAAATAGTCTAACCCTATAATCGACACAAAATTAACCCAGTCTCACATGTCACCACAACTTGGCACTCAAGATTTTGGCACCTGATAGGCAGGGCTGTCACTAAGATTTCAAGTTGCCAGATAAATACAACAAGAACACTCTTAAAAAAAGCATTAAGTCTCGCTTGTTTGGAGAGTAGATAAGAAATGAGGAGGGAATTAGTTCTACATGAAACAGGACTTTCTTGACAGTCAAGTATTCTTCAGAATATTTCCCTTTTATATCATTTTTGACGATAATTGAGTATGTGTGTATAAAATCAAGTCAAGAGAAATTACATCATTGCCAGAGACCAAAAATGTGATGATTATGATGCGTCATTTCAATCATCACCAAAATAAACCACGTGCTCATCACAAGACTCATTTGCATAGAATAAACATTTGCGACACCCGATCAGTTTATAGCCTCACAATTGAAGTTTTCACTGAAGTATTCACTTGTTCCCAAGTGTAAAATAATGCTTTCAAGCGATAGAATTCATGGACTGACCCTTTCCACATTCTTTGGCATCAATCTTTCCTAAGCTTTCTTTACAAAATAAAGCATGGCTCTGGGACACGTTGCGACTCTTATTCCCAGTTTCCACAGTTTCCACAGTCTCCACTAGAAACCCCTCGGACCACAACCCCCCCCCCCCCCCCCCCCCCCCCCCCCCCCCAAACTAAGTAGTCCACTTGTTCACATGTTAAAATTATGCTTTAAAACGACAAAAATTCAGGTCAAACCCCTTCCCCCTTTCTTTTCAACATCGCTTTCCTAGCTTTTTTTAAAAAAAAAAACAAGGGCCTGGGGAGCGGTGGCCACTTTTTTCCCCGGTTCCCCCGGTTCCCCACTTCCCCCCTAAAACCCCCCCGGCCCCCACCCCCCCCCCCCCCCCCTTTTGGCAGGCACACATGAAAAAAAAAGAAACACTTGCATTTTTAGAGTCTCGCTGCTAATGGAGTGAGACTAACAAGTAGGCGGGGACTCTATTAAGCAGCTAGGGTTTCTTTGTGGTTCTTTTTCTCTTCTACTTTCTTACAGAAGAAGCCGGGGGTTATATTCATGGAAGCCAGAGGAAATCCCCGGACCCTCAGACCTTAATGACTGCCCTGGATAAGTCCTTATATATCTCCATTGTTTATTAGCCAATCACAGTGCTCCACTCTTTGAAATATGTGCATTTTATTTCCTCACTTTTACCCTGTGTTTAACAAAAACTACATTACTCTCAGCCAACAAGATTCAAGAAATTTTTTCATGTATATTCTTATAATTATTGGTGATTAATAAAGCTGGAGTCGTATCTTTTCAGATGTGAAAGAAACTGTTGTCAAATGATTATATACTGTACTGTAATGAATTAATTATTATTGATTTATTTCAAAAAATATCTGTTGATTAACAGGTTTTTGAAGTAGGATTGGGCCTTGTGAATGTAGTTGTGAATCATCTACCATGGTTTTTCCAATATGTACTCTGTTAGGTCCAGTATAAGGGGCGAGGTCATGATTCCATTTCACCATTTAGCGGTGTGTCAGAGTTTTGATAAAATTATATCAAAATATCTTGAGTTCCTGAATAGACCATTTCAAGGTTTTTTCAATTTTTGACTTTGGCCAGTCAGCTTTTCCATCAACACCACCTCAAAGAGTGCCTTGAAATCAGTAAAGTTGCAAAGATGAGCAGTTTAAAAACTTACAAAGATATGGCTCTGCAAAGTTGCAGAACTTTTAGGAGATGGTATGGTTGGGATGACATTTTTTGCTTCCCCAACACTCCAATATCTATAAAAAAAAAATTAATGACTTTACAGAGATATTATAATCTATATTCCCTCACATTAAGGCGCTCTATTTGGTAGTGTTGATAAAGTTTCACTAATTGGTCCATGTCGTAAATTGAAAAAAGCATTAAAGGGTTTCCCTTTTTAAGAACTTAACAGACACGCACAGAGCATAGATGAGCAAAATGGAAGAAGATTTAAAAATGAATTGCGTTAAGTTATACTTAGAAAACCTTGAACTGGCTTTTGTATCTTAATTGTAAGAAAATATAATATTATTATGTGAAAATCACCTTCATTTAGGTCTGTAGCTTCTAGTTTGACAACAAATGACTGTTGTTTCTCCAGGTTAACCCTTTAAACCCCAATAGCCACATACAAATTCTCCAAACTGGTCTCTATACATTTCCTTAAAGAAAGTGTTGAGAGAATTTGATAAAAGATCAAAGCATTTTCTCTTAGGTGATCAATTTATTAATTCTTATAACCTAATCACTGGCAGATCCATGGATATGGTTAGGAGAAAATTTATGTTGGTCACCATTGGGACTGAAAGGGTTAAATTGTGGTGGTTTCATAATGTAGCTACATGTAAACAAATCCCTGCCAAACAGTACAAGCTAGGCCCTTAATAGAAGGACTCAATTTACAGTGCAATGTGCCTTACTGTTGCCACTCAACAAAAAGTTAGTCATTAAGTGATTACCAACTTTTCAGATGGGCTTGCATTCTTGATAAGCTACTAAAAAAGGATATTGAGATAGAATATGATTTTGTCAATTATTTATCCACATTTTCATCATTAATATGTGTACAAGTATCAAAGTGTCTTGATAATTTGTCTATTTGTCACAATTTGTAATTTAGTCATCCAATGAATTTGCCTGATGCTCTTTGCCATTCCTCAGTGCCAATTTTTAGTTAGTCTTTAATACACCATTCAAGGTATTAATTACTTCGTCATGAAAACAAATAAGGGAAGGAACCATCATTGGCAGTCTGGTTAGAATAAGGATAAAATTTGGTCAACGGAAACACAAATTTAAATAAATTTGAAAGCAACCTTGGGACCTTTAAAGCCATCCATAAATTGGTTTGTTACTTTTCAGTCCAGTAAAGAATTGTGAATCAAAACTCATTAGAGGAAGGCAAAGTTGCAGATAAACAAACTAGTGCATTAGGTTTGTCTGACTAATAAAACGTCATTAACCTGAAAAGGCATTTTGTTGTTTGGCCACAGTATAGACATAGGGAACTTTTAATAGGACACTGGGTGAAAAATAACGCTCATATTAATTTAAGTATAAGTTAGACAATGCTGTGCTCTTGCAATGCCTTGTTACCTGTGCAACTCAATTTGGCCTTTTGGCAAGGAGGAGATGTTAGTTTTCCCTTAACCTATTCAGAGATTAGGGGCTCCTACTGTTTTTCTTATATTCCAGCCTTGATGCAAGTATTTTGACATCACCATCTTATTGCTTGTGTCATTAATTTACATTCAGTTAGCTGGGAGTTGAATCTAGCCTGCACCACAGACCAAACTAAACCTTTGGTTGCAGTGTAAGTCTGTCTGCAAGCCAGCATCAACATCCCCTTTCTGGGAGACCACCTGTGTAACCGAATATCAGATAACCTTGCATTGTGTTTGTTGTTGATAAACTTGCATAGAGGCAAGTACACCATTATCTGTAATAGATAGCACATGGCTATGGTCTTTCATTAGAGGTATAAACTGTACTTAGAAATTCCCAGGGGAAACAAATATGGTTTGACTTTGCAAGGGTTTGGTTTAGTAGGAAAATAGTGGCTGAAAGTGAAATAGATCATTAAAGTTTGAGTGGAGGGGTTTTACTGCACTTGCAAGATCAGGCAAGCTGAAAATGCCTTTAGGCTGGCTCTTTTCCCATGATTTTAACTGACATGTATTTTTTTCATCAAACGTTCTGTATACCAGTCATTTTCTCTTGTAAAAATGGCAATAGATTACAGAAAAAGATTTTTGTCAGTTTTGGCAGCTTTGAAGTGGGGTTATTTGCAAGTAAAGTGGTCAATAGTAATTGTATTAAGCGAGTTCAATTATTTGTCTGCCTTTTAAGAAGCTGTGCGGTTATTCAAGTACCAATTTGCTTTAATTTCGAATTACAGTGCCTTTTATAAGCGGGAGAGTCATGTCCAGGGTGACGTCAACCAATTTGCAACAATATCTTACAAATAGTCACATTTTTAACGAAATAATATTCCGTAGTGTCTTTTTTCCCAATAAAAGCTGAAGAATGCCAAGTTTGTCCAAGTAGTCTATTCAATTTTTATTTATCTATCACCTGCGCTACATTTAAAACTTTCCTAAAAGGACCTTAAAATACTAAGGTAGGGGAGGGGGTGGGTCACGTAATTCAGCGGTATCTTTTCGACGAAACCCTTCACTCAAGGTCATCTTTTGAATCTCTTTACGGGGGTAAAGACACTCATTCGATAAAACAAAACTTTTTCTTTCACTACCACACCGACGTATAAACACCACAATTTCTTTCTAAACTAACCCTTTTCCAATGATAATGATTGAATGGAATTTTCGCGCCATTTTTCATCCGACCAGAATATAGTAATTCGCATTCTCGAGCCCAGTGCACTGCGCGTAAATGAACGACTTGGTTCACGCGTTTTCACGCAATTTTTTCTCGCGCTTTTCGTCAGCTGCGGGGCTAGAGTCCTGATTTCTGATTGGCTGACTTGAGTTTAAATAACTTGAGAAACTGTCGGAAGTTCTGATTCGTCGAGAACCAAGCAGTTGTTCATTAGATCGGTTTAGTCTTAAATAAAAACTAGAAAACTTTATTTTTTCTTGAAGTGGTATATTTCATTAAAGCAATGTTCAACTTTTGATTCACAAGCTTTTCGCTTGTTCTTGGATTACCGTATCGCACAACACCGGTAAACTAATAGATTGTTCGGTGTTGAGTGGGGGGGTGAGAAAAGCACATGACGAGGATTTTCATCTCTTTTTCTTGACCTCGGACGCGCCCCTAACAGTTCAGCTCCAGGAAAATTGACCTATATTCATCGACCTGAGGAAGCTGGAATAACCACGATCGAGTGAAAGAACGCAATTTCACAGTGACGTTTTAGGTGACTGAGATACTCTTTAAATTGTTTGTTGCATTACAAAAACCGTGGCTACAATCCTGTGGAGTTAGACTTAACATTGTAGTCACGGCTATTACAGTGCATATTTTTTGTCCAACCTGAGGGTTGCGGGAATCGTGTGATACATTCATCCCTTAACTCGAGATCGTAAACACAGTGCTTTTTCAGATGTGGTTCTACGTGAAGACCCAAAAATCCTGCAGTTAGTTGACCCAAACCGTTGCCGATGGTCAGTAATCCTAAAGCAAATTCTCTCTCCTTTGGGTCATTAATGACGTCAGACACTGTGTGAGCTGAGTTTAAGTACATGGAGCCTGCTACAAACCCCTCAGTTACGCAGAGAATAAGAATTATAGAAACGTAAGGAACAAAACGGAACCACGATGCGAAAAGGAAGAAAACAAGATGAGCTATTTCTACCAGCGCTAATATCCAGGTTTTCCTGACGCGCACATAAGGGATCACTTTTGAACAGGTGCAGGAGAGGAGGAAAATATGGAACCTGCCAACGAACTTGCCCACGTGATAACACACGATGTAATATTGATAATGATCCCTCGGGCTGAAAGACGAGTCGGAAAAGGCAAGCGTGGTAATGACACCCTGGTTTGATAGATATTCAGCATAGTAGGTGAGGAACAAGAAAGTTATGTAGGGTAAAATGCGCTTGGCAACTAACAACTTTTCTTTCCAAGTTAACTCATTTCCAAGGGCGGAGTCCGAATCGTCTGTGTCAGAAGAAGTCGGCAGTTTGTTATATTTAACACCTCCGCTTTCTTTCTCGTTTACATTTATATTGTGCTGTTTTTTCTCTAAGCAAGCGTACAGGAGTAACACAAGGAAGGGCCAGGGGAAGGTTGTTAAGATTGCTGTTCTTGGTGGAAGACATGCCCAAGTTGTAAGCCCTAGGAGAAAATTAGAGCACAGTTACTCAGAAGCTAGTTTAACTCAGGTAAGGTAAAACGGGTGACAAAAAAAAACCGCTCAACTTGTTTTAATAGCAACATTGCTTCGAAACAAGTTGAAAATTGATGTTGCGCATCTTATCACCCACGTTCAAACATGTCTTGCAACTAATCAGGTAGTTGCAAGAGACCTTTTTACCGATATATACCGTGGCCATATTTAAGGAAAATTATAGGATGCCCAGGGGGCATGAGCACATTTCGCTTGTATTTTCGAGCGCTTTTCGGGACATTTTTTCTTAAAGTTTTCTTAGAATAAGATTCTAATGCGAAAAAAGATCCTTGTGCCTTGTTTGGATTTAATGATGATCGCCTTTTTCCCGAGAAATATACAGTGAAAGACCATATTTCTAATACTAAACTAGAAAAAGGCCATCATTGTTACATCCAAACACGGGACAAGGTTTTTTTTTCCCATTACAAACTTATTCTAAGAAAATTTTAAGAAAAAATGTCCCGAAAAGCGCTCGAAAATAAAAACGAAATGTGCTCATGCCCCCTGGGCATCCTATGAATACTCCTTAAATCGAATTAATTCAATATGGCCGCCGTATCGGTAAAAAGGTCTATTTGCGTAAATAATGAATTCCGCTTGGATAAAATTTCGCGGGAGTCATTGCATGCACGGGAGTTTCGTCACTTAATGCAAACCAAGTTTGTTTGTGTCGGTAAAAAACGCGACATGTACAGATTTTGTTGCAAAAAGTAGGATAACTACTCCCCGTGAACTTCACTCTCTGTTTTCTGGAAATGAACGCGGCACAGAACTGGAGCAACTCGTTCACACACATCGAATATTGTACCGGAACGGTTGGCTGAGAGGGTTTGGTTCCCTAATAAATTCCAATCCTAATTTCTGAATATAATATTCAGGGACCGCACAGGGGGGTGGGGCTGGGGCTATAAAGCCCCCCACTTATATTATTCGGACGGTAATTTTTTTTCCCTTTTTTTACTTTGGTTACCCAGGTCTGTCACTTACCACACAAACAAGGTTTAGTAATCTGACAATACTGAACACCCACAAACAGAGAAAACACAAACTTTGTCTTATAGCTGTTGCCAATAAGTTTGTAGCTCTTAATTTAAGGTGGCTCCGTAATTAATACGGGCGCATTTAGCCGTGGCGAAGATTTCGTCACAACTTTTTCGTTTTTAACGCGATGGCTAAGAAACTTTGCAAAGAACAACAGATATCATCCTGCAATAGTATGGAATATTCCGATTTCATTGATGGTAAATATATTTTGCTAAATTAGGGCTTAAAAGGACCCTTCTGTTCAAAGAAAATCGCGTCTAGTAAAAAAAATTGCTGATCTTTTTTACGGAAATTTCTGGTATCGGCTTTAATTGACATAATAAATATGCCAAACGAATTTCAGAAAAATCGTTGGAGCAGAAGTCCGTAACTAAAAGCCGCTCAAAATTCAGCTGTGAAATTGTTTTGGAATTTCAAAAATAAATTACTATCAGGTAGAAGGAGCCACCAGTTTGAATTTTCGGGACAAATAAATTCGATGTTTGCTAAATCTGAAAACAAAAGCCGATTGCCTAAAATGCTATTCTTTAAAAGGTACTTCTTAGTTTTAGAAGCACTATAAATTGCTCCAAACCTTGCTCTGAAGTTGAATGACTTGTTCCTCGACATTTTTAAAATATCACTTGGTAGTTTTGGCTCAAACTCCTGCTGCATACATTTTGATGTATTGCAATGCATTTTCAACGTCTTTTAAAGCTGTTCGTTGCTTCCAACTCGGCAGAGATTGGACGCTACCTCAGTATTAGACCCTGTTTACATGGAGTGGGGTACCCCGGTCTAGTGGGGTTGGTTTCTTTTGTTTTCACGCTCTGGGACACAAAACAAAAGAAACCAACCCCACTAGACCGGGGTCCCCCACTCCATGTAAACAGGCCCTTAGAGCTCACATAGAACCGTCCAGCACCTTTGTTCATTACTACAAAATGAGAACGAGTGGCAGTTCTGCGAAGAATTCGCACCTCAGCCTTGGGGGACGAACGACAATGATGCCCATGCCTGTAAACCGAATTACATCACATGCACTGCAAAGTTGAATTATCGCAAAAATAATGTCTGTGAATTAATTTACAACTCTGAAATTTCTGTTACTCCTTCCTTAGATTAATGGGTAGTTTTTTCTTGATTATTATGATTTGCTCTGCAATACACGTTTATACAGATCGGTTCATAGACACGGGCTTCATTGTCATTCGTCCCCCCTGGCTGAGGTGCGAATTCCTCGCAGAGCTGCCGCTCGTGCGCATTTTCTGGTCATAAACAAAGGTGCTGGACAGTTCTATCTGAGCTTCGATACAGTGTAGCTTACAATCCCAATACCTTTTTCCTGAATTGGAAGCAACGTTCATCAGAAAACTTGAAGCCGTTGAGGATGCATTGCAATACAGCAAAATATATGTAGCAGGAGTTTGAACCAAAACTGCCAAGAGATATTTTAAAAATGTCGAGGGACAAGTCATTCGACGTGAGAGCAAGGTTTGGAGCAATTTATAGTGCTTCTAAAACTAAAAAGTACCTTTTAAAGAATACCACGATAGGCAATCAGCTTTTCTTTTCATTTTTAGCAAACACTGAATTTAATTGTCCAAAAATTCGAACAGGTGGGTCCTTCTACATGATAGTAATTTATTTTTGAAATTCCAAAACAATTTCACAGCTGAATTTTGAGCGACTTTTAGTCACGGACATCTGCTCCAACGATTTTTCTGAAATTTTCTCTGGCATATTTATTATGTCAATGAAAGCCGACACCAGAAATTTCGGTAAAAAATATCAGGAAAATTTTTTACTAGACGGGATTTTCTTTGAACACCAGGGTCCTTTTAAGCGCTAATTTCTCGAGAAATATTATTTACCATCAATGAAATCAGAATATTTCGAATGATATGTGTTGTTCTTTCCAAAGTTTCGCAGCCATCGTTCTAAAAACGAAAAAATCATGACGGAAAATCTGTCACACTGCAAAATGCTCTAATATTAATGACGGAGCCACCCTAATGACAACTGGAAAGGCAACTTTGGCACCTTTACAGAATCCGACTTAACTCATGATGTCCGAGTTTCACTCAACCGTTGCGTGTGTTGGGTTTAGTTTTAAAGTCTCTTCACTTGAATTTTGGTCTGACGTGTGGGCTGTAGAAGGCCTAAATGTAATAAACGACCCAAACTGTAATAAAGTTCTAAATTTAATAACATTTTGTCCTAAATGTTATAACATTTCGTCCTAAATGTAATAAAATCTTAAGGTGGCTCGATACAGTTTTTTAAGGCCAATACCTCCCAAGTTTGAGCATAAACTACGTCGCCATAAACAAAGTTTTGGAAAAATTGCCACCACAGTTGTATTAGATAAAGATGAAAATTTGTTATGATCAGGGTTGCAATGACATCGGAGTTGTCTGTCATAGCAACGAAATGACGCAATTACCTATTTCAGTCACAGAATTATTTCTCGGCACTGGGAACTGTTCTTCCAAAATCATTAACGGGAGTTTTTTCCTCCAATAGTCGCCTCAATGTTCGTGAAGTTTAAGCGAAATCTGTAAGAGCGTTATCGAGAAATTTTGGGATAAAGATTTTGTGGTTAGAAATAGGGTAACAAATGAATAATCTTGATGTTCGGCTATTATCTGTAGAAAATGAAGCGCTTTTGACATGCAATTTCACCTCACAGTAGTTTCAATCTTTTTAAAAACGTGTGTGAAAGACCCTGGAGATAGCTCCAGCCGATTGCTAGAAAGAAGGATTTGATTAGTATGTATCGAGGCGCTTTTGTTAGCGGTTTTTTAACATTTTGGTCTACTTTAACAAATTAGCTAATAACGTTTAAACCGCTCGATAGATTTTTAAAAAAAATTGGCATTCTTGAGATTAACTTTCCTTTTATATGATCTTTTAGTTTCAAGATTATTGATATATTGTAAGGCAGTAAAATGTTTTAAGTGCCGATGTAATAATTACAAATTTATATTACTATTGGCAGTTTTAGATGCATTTATAGCCATTTTAGAAGACTTAGATTTGAAATTTTTCCGGATTCCCCTAGTTTGGTCACGCTTACGCGTTCGCATTAACCCCCTCCCCCCGACTTGAAAATCTTCTCCGCGGGCCCTGAGTAACTACAACAGCCTGATTTGTTACAAGACAGGTTCATCCGTGGCTAGAGAGTGCTTGTCAAGTAAAACGTGCAAAACCCCTATTCAACTGATTTTTCAGCAGTGATGCAACTCAAGTTGCACGGAAGTGGGAACAGAGAGTATATATATTTTTAAAAGATGGATAAATAAAGCTTAATGTTATTATTATTATTATTATTATTATTATTATTATTATTATTATTATTATTATTATTATAGAGAATGAGCACGAGAAATGGGAAAATGAAAATTGAACCCTAGCCCTATCAGTAACATCATTTCCAATTTTCTGTTCTCTTATTTCATTTATGACAACGTAATTGTTGCCAACGAGGCAACCGAGCGCAATAAGAAGCGAGGTTGCCTCGGCGGCAGAATTATAACGCCGCGCAATGTAGGCAAAACTCTCAAATTCTGCGTAACTCGCTAAAATTTGCATTTTTGACCATATTTGGGTGTAAGTAAGACCCCATATTTGGGTAGTGACGTCATGGTGTTGTATTTACAACTCGTGGTTTGAAATTGGGTGATTCAGTGTGCAGCTGCTCGTTGTCTGTTCAAGAGGACCTAACAGGTGAGCAAGCTTTAATACGATTTCTAGTTTGAAAGGGCAATTACTGCTCTGGTTTGCTTTGTAAATTGCGTTTGGGCAGCAGCTTTAAACAATAGGGTTTTACGCTCAAATTTTTGTCATAACCACTGCTTGTTCTTTGCAGCTCGATTTACATTGAGGTAACGTGTTCGCTTCTCGACTCAGAAGCAGTG